TCATTTATGAAACTTAGTTTTGCTGGATACAAAATTCTTGGCTAATTGTTTAAGGATCCCAATTCCTTTTAGCTTGTAGGGTTTCTGCTGAGAAATCTGCTGTTAATCTGATAGGGTTTCCTTTCCTTCTTTTTGTGATGAGTTTCTCAGGTGTTCTTTGAGTTTCTTGTGTTTGGATGTCTAGATCTCTAGCAAGGCCAGGGAAGTTTTCCTCAATTATTCCCTCAAATATATTTTCCGAACTTTTATATTTCTCTTCTTCCTCAGGAACACCAATTATTCTTAGATTTGGTCATTTAACATAATCCCAAACTTCTTGGAGGCGTTGTTCATTTGTTAAAATTCTTTGTCTTTGTTGAATTGGGTTAATTTGAAAGCCTTGTCTTTGAGCTCTGAAGTTCTTTCTTCCACTCGTTCAATTCTATTGCTGAGACTTTCCAGTGTATTTTGCATTTCTCTGTGTCCTTCATTTCTAGAAGTTGTGATTGTTTTTATTTATGCTATTTCTCTGGAGACTTTTCTATTCATATCCTGTATAATTTTATTTTAACAACCTTCTGAATTCTTTTTCTGGCAATTCAGAGATTTTGTCTTGGTTTGGATCCATTGCTGTTGAGCTAGTGTTATCTTTTGGGAATGTTAAATAACCTTGTTTTGTCATATTACCAGAATTATTTTTCTGGTTCCTTCTCATTTGGGTAAAGTATGTCAGAGGGAAGATCTGGGAGTCAAGCGCTGCTGTTCAGATTCTCCTGTTCCTTAGGGTTCTCCCCCTTCCCCTAGGGATGTGTTTTCCTGAGAACCCTGCTGCAGTGATTGTTATTTCTTTTCTGGATCTAGCCACCCAGCGAAGCTACCGGGCTCCAGGCTAGTACTGGGGAGTGTCTGCAAGGAGTGCTGTAATGTGATCTGTCTTCAGGTCTCTCCATGGATATCAACACCTGCTCCGGTGGAAGTAGCAGGGGAGTGAAGTGGACTCCGTGAGGGTCCTTAGTTGTATTTTTAAGTGCACTGGCTTTGTGTTGGCCTCCAGCCAGGAGGTGGCACTTTCAAGAGTGCATCAGCTGCAGTAGTATAGGGAGAATACAAGCTTGCCCTAGTGTCAGGCGGTGGGCGGGGCCATAGAGTTCCCAAGAGATTATGTCCTTTGTCTTGGTCTTTCTCTACCTGCCCTGTTAGCCTATCAGGTAGGGGCAGGGTTAGGTGTGTCTGAGCTCAGACTCTCCTTAGGTGGGGCTTGCTGCAGATGCTGTGGGGGGTGTGGTTCTCAGGGGGATTATGGCTGACTCTGCTGCATCACACAGGTCATCAGGGAAGTGAGGGAAAGCTGGCAGCCACAGGCTGGTCTCACTCCCACCATGCACCCCCAACAGCACTGAGTTTGTTTCCAGGCAGCCAGTGAATAGGGCTGAGAACTTGCCCCAGGCTACAGGCCTCCCAGCTGAGAAAGCAAGCCAACTCTCACAGTTCCTTGGCTGTCCCAGAGAGCCTGCAGCAGCAATCCACCTCCTTCAAAGGGTCTATGGATTCTTCTGGCTTTCCTAGCATGTTCCTGTGGTAGTTCTTGGAGCAAAAGTTTACAATGTGAATCTCCATGTGCTGCTCTGTCTGTCCGAGTGGGAGCTGCAAGTTAGTCCTGCCTCCTTTCCATCATTTTTCTGCTCTAAAACTGCTCTTGGAACTCTGACTTGCTATGTGAATAAGCATGAGCTAGTCTGCTGGATGATGAGAGACACATGGCCCAGTTTGGCTCCACTGCTCCACCTGACAGCCATCCAACTCCCAGAAGCAGACATGCCTAATTTACTGTAGTTTACCACTGATGCAAATGGGTGAGCCCAGCCAAGAGCAGCAGCAGAGCCATCCTGCTGAGCCCAGAACAGTTCATGGACCCTCAGAATCATAAGCTGAATAAATAATTATTGTTTTAAACCATTAAATTTTGGTATTGTTTACTACACATTCAAAATTAAATGATGCAGTTAGCTTCATTATGTTTTAGTGTCAGGGTTACATTGTCTATAAGGATTTGTGAGAAGGTTTTCTTATTTTTCTAAGTCTTGGAATTATTAACTCTTTGATGATTTGAAATAACTTTCCTATCCATCATCTAGGCTTGAAACGTTTGGGGGATAGGCAGGGGTTTTTTATTTCCTATTATTTTCTCACTACCTCTCTTGGTTGTTAGTGTATTAATAGTAAAATAAGAATATAAGTCACATTTCTAAATGTGATTTCAAAAACGGACACAAGCTAACATCCAGCCTTATGCTTAATAGTGAAACATGAGAGGTAATGCAAAGTAAGACGACCACTATCCCCACCATTGCTGAACATCTCTTTTTTAGAAGTCCTAGTCAACATAACTGGGAAAAGAAAACAAAATTAGAAATCTGAGAAGTAAGGAGACAAGGCTGGATGTAGTGGCTCATGCCTCTAATCCCAGCACTTTGGGAGGCATTTGAGGCTAAGAATTTGTCAGCCTGAGCAACACAGCAAGACCCTGTCTCTATAAAAAAAAAAATGAAAAAAATTTTGTGGGGCATGGTGATGCACGGCACGCCTGTAGGCCCAGCTACTTGGGAAGATGAGCTGGGAAAAGTGCTTGAGCCCAGGAGTTCAAGGCTGCAGTGAGCTATGATCATGCCACTAACCTCTAGCCTGGGTGACAGAGCAACACCCTGTCTCTTAAATAACAAAGGAGACAAAATTATTGTTTGTAAAAGATATATGTGTATAAATATGTACATAATTATAGACACTTTTTTTAAGCCTAGAAGACTCAGGAATTAAAAATGATCAGAAATGATTAATTTGTAACTGCCAAGCTTACTATTTTAATCCTTAACTTTTTATACATCAACAATTTGCTAGGAAAATGGGGAGAAACATGCCATTTATAAATGCATTAAGTAAAAGGAGAGATATGCCCATTATTGGATGGAAATAAATTATATGCCAAGTTCTTGGGTTAGAAATAAAACACCAGGCGGGTAAGCAGAAATGAAACCGACACAGGGGCTGGGACTCTCAACCGCCTTTGCTTGTCTCTGGGCTGTGCTGAACAAAGTCAGAGAAAGCATCAGTGAAAGGAATGCCTGGGGACACAGCACTTGAGACCACTGTCTCCCTAGACTGTATAAAAGGGCAAGGAAACTCCCCCACCAAACAAAAAAACCTGAAGTCTTTTGAAAGGGAATTGGTTGGTTGCCAACAAAACACACAAGTGAAAAAGACAGATGTCCCTGTAGCAAAAGCCGCAGTGCCCTGCCAACATCCCCCAGTCCTTACCCCTGTCCTACAAACATGCTCTACTTCCAGCTGCCACCGGCTATATTCCTTTGCCTGGGGGTCCCTCTGGTGGCAGGAGCCTGGCATGTGTAGCAGGTCAGAGGTGCTGCAGAAGGAAGGAATGCTGGTGTCCACCCCAGCACCCTTGCCCCTCAGACAGGATGACCCTGAGGCCTGGCACATTCTAAGCAGGCTCCTGAGTTCTCAGCGGGACTGTGCTCCAGTTGCCCATGGTGGATTCTCCTGGGACAATGTGCCCTTTCCTGGCTGCCCTCCTTTCCCTGTCTCATTTCCCTACTCTCTTACCAGAGGTGGGGGTCATCTCACAAATAAATTCTCTGCATTGTAACATATTCCAAAATTACCTAAAATTTCAGAATACGATAAAGGAGATGTTTCAAATAAGTCAGTAATTCATCTCTCTGCCCCAAGCCTGCTACTTTCCCCATATTTCCCATCCAGTGACTGGCATCTCCATTTACTCAGAATGGAAGCCAGATGTAAGGAGGCTGCCAGGATGTCCCCTACCCCAAACCATTCTAGAAGATGCTCCAGGCCCCACCTTCCCCCACCTGGATGACTGTGCACCCTCCACATCCACTCTTACCTGCCTTATGCTGCTGTTCTGGTCTCTCCTCTGCATAAAACTCTTCACTGGCTTTCTCTCCTCTTAGAACAGGGCCTGACTCCTTCCAAGGTCTGCAAAGCCCAGCGTGATTTGGCCTCTGCCTTCCTTTCCAGCTCTGTCTCTGCCATGGGGACTCTCACTGTCCCCTCTCTGGCCATCCTGGTCTCCTTTCAGTCCCCTGTGCTTTTCCAGGCTCCTTCCCTTACCAGGCCTCCCTGCCTGGAACACTTCCCCTCCTCCAAAGAGAACTCATTCTTCAGGTCTCACCTGGAGACCGGACCCCAGGGACAATGTCCGTCCCTGTTCTTTCCACTCTCATGAACTATGTATCCTCCTGGTACATGGCACAATCACAACTGTAATTTTACATTTACTCATCTGCTTGTTTGATTCATGTCTCTCATGCCAACATCCCAATGGAGCCTCCTGCTTCTACAGATGTGAGTTCAAATCCTGACTACCGTGATTCACGCTGGTGACCCTGGGCGAGTCACTTTACCTCTTGGTGTCTCTACCAAAACAGGAAGGCAATGGCTACTCCACAGGGTGTTGTAAGGATTCAGTGAAATACCGGAGGGAGAGCTCAGCCCAGACAAGAGCTCAGCGAATGAGTTGCCATCACCCCTGTTTCATAGACATGAAAACCGAGGCTCAGAGTTCAGGTGGTCAGCCTGAGGTCACAGAGCTGGCAGCTCCATTTGCCTACCAGCTAGTTCTGCTCTCTGTTCTCCCTGGAGGCCTTTAGGGGAGGCCACAGGCACACGGTCAGTGGGATAGGAAGCTCTGGCCTGGACTCCAGACTTTGAGGGTTGGAGGGACAAGATGGATGGAGATGCTTGTTCTCATTTTATCAAGGGGGAAGCAGAGGTTCAGAGTGGTTAAGCTGCTAGTAAATGCAGTTGGTTAGTAGAATTGGAAGGCAGCCAGCTTCCCAGTTTACGGATGGGCAACTGAGCCCAGGAAAGACCTCTGCAAGAGTCTCAGTTCCAGGTCTGGGCCTGGTTTCAGACCTTCAAAGTGTGTCCTTGGCTCCAGGACCACAAAGCCTCAGGGGATGGCCCAGAAAGAGAGGGAGGCTCACCTGCTTCTGTTCCTCTCCCAGGCTGTCCCACATGGAGGCCACGATTTTGGACACATCACCGAAAGTGGCACTAGGGTTCTGACCCTTGATGGCGGCCTGAGTGTCTCTGAAGAAGAGTGCGTAGGCCGACACAGGCTTCTGCGGCTCGTTGGGGTCCTTCTTTTTCTTCTTCTTTGGGTTCTTGGCCTTTTTTCCTGGGTCGGCTGAAGGTCTCTTTTCTCCGGATATCTGCCCGAGTGAGAAGAGTCAGATAACCAAAGAAGCCCAAGGGCCTCCTGCCAAAGGCAATCCACACAGACTCCGGCCAAGCTGCGCTTTTCCAGCCCTGCTCATGCACAGATAACCACTAGCGAGGTGGAAAGGGCAATGGCCAGACAGACACACACACCCTGGGTGGGTGTTTAACTCATTAAAGAGAACCAGCATGATTGTAAAGTTGATTCAGAGAAATGCAGGAGGAGAAGATGACTGTATAGTCACTGAAAGAATGGAAAGAATGCTGGAATTAGATTGCTAAATTACACGTAAAAGTGGTTAGTGCCAATAGAACGCTAAAACTATCACCTTTAGGACTTCTAATCTTTTCTACCGGACAGAAATTCGCATCTCTACTGGGCAAAGTTAATTTGCCTTATAATCAGACAAAAATCACATCTCTTATTACATTTTTCCCCCCCAAGGTAACCTCTTCTTTTACAGAGTTATAAAATCCCCTAATCAATAATGAATAATGAATCAAAGCAAAGGTCCACTTTCCTAGAGAATCAGATAATTCTTGAGTAAGCCTGTGAGCCAATGCTTTGGTATGACATTGAAAGAATGTGCAGTTATTTGGGGGCCTATTTCCAAGTCTGGAGTGTGCGTGCATGTGTGTGTGTGTAAATATATATACACACACACACGTGTGTATATATGTGTGTATATACCTGTATATATGTGTATATATACATGTATATGTGTGTGTATATATAGATATGTGTATATATAGATATGTGTCTCTATATAGATCTATATAGAGATACATGTCTATATACATATAGATCTATATAGATACGTGTCTAGATAGATGTATATCTATATAGATATGTGTCTATATAGATATCTATCTATATATATATGCTCTCCCACTTGTGATCACAAATAATCCCCAAAAAGGATCCTGCATTACAAAAGGCTGGTCTCCACCACCATGTTTCAGCCGTGCACCTTTGAGCAGGTAGCTTAGTCCCTGGACCCCTGTAAAGTGGGGAGGGGATGAAGCTACAGCGACTGTTACTGGGTCAGCCGTGGAGCCAGTGGCTTCACCCTGGACAGACCGCAGGACCACGATCCTGTGAACACTTGACTTCGGGCTTCCCGGGGCGGGGGGCGGTTGGGATGCCCACCACAGACCTCAGTGGGGCTCTGTTGGGTCACTCAAGCCATGCAGGTACAGGGGACTTTGGTCAAAAGCCCTGGACCCTGCAGTGAAGACTCTGGCTCTAGGAGCCAAGAAGATGGAGGTGACACGTTGAACTGATGATAAAGCCATGGGCCAGTAGGCGTGATCAGGCATCCATGTCTGAAGAACATGGTTCTGTTCCTGAGGCTTATCTCTGCAGCCACCCTCTTCTCTAAGCCCCAGTTATGTTAGCACTATGGTGTGGCCCTAGCAAGATCAGGGATGAAGAGGCATGTTGTCATTGATAAAGTCCTGAACAGGCACAGCAGGGCAGGGGGTTGAGGACACATGCACTGGACTACACCTGCAGCCTCCTGGGTTTGAATCCTGGTTCCCCCACTTACTAGCTGTATGATAACAGATACATTATTTCCCCATCTGCCAAACAGATAACAGTCCCTGTCCCAGAGGACTTTTATGAGGATTACATGGACGTATACTTGTTACGTGTTTAGAGCAGTGTCTGGCCTATAGGGAGTGTTTGTTAAACAAAAACTGTTCCTGCATGAACTATAATAGAGGTTGAGTCATCCTTAGGATGAAGCTGGGCCAGGATCCAGAGGTAAACTCCCTTTTCCCCCGAAGTCCAGGGTTACTGCCCCAGGTCTCTGGGAGGCCACCATGTGGAAGGGACACTGGATCGACAGAGGTAGGAGGCACGAAGGGAGGTAAGTCTTGATTCCACCACTAGCTTGCTGGGAGGTCCCAGGCAAACACTTCTGTCTTTGGCCTTTCTGGGCCTCTGTTTTCCTCCCTGGTAAGACACGATGTTCTCTCACCAGGAGGTGGATTTGGAGTCAATGCAAAGAAGGGCCAGAGCCTGGACAGGTGGCAGGTTCTCATCCCTACCATGTCTACCATGTTCTTGAAGAGGTCAAACCAGACGACTCCAGGAATGTTGGGGGAACCCATGTTCCCACCGCGGTGGCGGGGGGGGAGTCATTTTTGCACCCCACCCTCAAGGTCAGTGAATACTCTAGGCCCAGAGGTGCTGCCTCCTGGATCACACAGTTTTGTCAGAATATTTTCTCCTAAAAGGGCCAAATGGCCGCAAATGTGACCCCAATGGCCTTGCTGAAGCCGTCCACACCTCTGAAATCGCCCACTGGCCTTCAGGAGTCAGGCTTTGCCAACTTTCACAGGATTGTCTCACCCCATCCCCTCGACATTTGTTGGAATTTTCTCTGCTTTACACACAAGGCTGTGGGAGCCCCGAGGGGACACAGCTTGTCAAGGACACTCAGCACATGGAGCAGCCAAAGCCCTATGTCCCAAGGCCCATAGGTGCCATCCCCCTGACCAGGTGCTCCACCTGCCAATGTGCTTTTTCCTTGGCTTCCAGCGTGGCCTGGGTGTCTTAACAGAAAACCACTGAGCTCTGTGGCGGATATCCCAACCACCACCCGGAAGGCCTGCTCAGTCCCAAGACATCGGGCTTTTCTAGTCTTGACTAGAGGGAGGTGATGCCCATTTCCCCACAGGACCCCTTCCCTGCCGACAGGAGAGCAGCTTCAGGCTCTGTTCCTGCACTGCACATACCTTGAAATGCGCTTCCGACTCCTCTTCCTGCGTGGAGCTGGAGGGAGAGGGGGTCGCTGACTTGCTCCCCGGGGGTGATGGGGAGCTGTGGGCGATGCTGCTCCGGATGCCCATCTGCGAGATGAGCTGGGACTGGCTGAGGGCACTCATGTGGCTGGCCAGCATTGCCGGGCGACCCAGCAGGGGCCCGGGCCGGCCTGAGTCATAGGCGGCCACCTCCGAGTGGACCATCTCCTGGATCTAAGAGAGGAGGACAGGGGGTTTGAGTTAGGAAGGATCTGTCCTGCCACTCCATCACATCTGTGCTAGCAGACTGGGAGGACGGAGTGCAGAGGAGAAGTGATGGGTACGGCTCCTGCTCCGATCCCTGACAGGCGAATCTCAAGATGGAGCCCCAGCGCATTCGTGGGAAAACGGCAGCTCCGTGGCTGTGTGCCATTCTACTGACTCTCACCTCGGACAGATGCTTTGCATTTCAGCCCCTGCCAGAGAGCTCAGTCCGGTTATGTTGGATCTGAGTCTTCCCTCCTGGAATGTGATATGTCTCTGCACGAACTGAGCAGTCAGCATGACAGCAAAGCCCACAGATGCTGGACGCTAACTACATTTTGAATCCTGGTCCTGCCATCTACCAGTTGGGTGACTTTGGCCAAGTTACTTAACCTCTTTGTGCCTCAGTTTCTTCATCTGTAAAATGTGGATATGAGCAAACCTACATGCTAGGGTTCTTAAAGATCAAATGTACCTGGCATACCGTGAGCCCTATGTTGTATAAGCATGTGTTAAATACATTGAATAAATTTCTTGATAAAGTTGAGCACTTTCCTTCCTACAGGTCAGCAATTTTATTGTTAACTCCATTCCCCATGATATTTTCTAACTGGTTGCTTTTGGAATATAAGCAAACTACTGGTTTTTACATATAAGCATTTCTCACACTAAACACACATTTAGAATGACTTTGGACCTAAATATGTGTCCACGCCCTGTTCAGTGAGGCGTACCTATTTGCATACTCTTATGAGTTTTCTTTCCTCTGCATCTGTGGTTATTTCCCCTTTCTAATTTCTAACATCAAGTATCTGGTTTTTCTCTCGTTTTTTCTTCATTAGGAAAACAAATGGGCTTTCAGTTTTATGTGGGTTGTTTCTTTTCTCCTCAAAAGAATCAAATCTCAAGTTTATCACTTCTGCTTCTCTGTTTTCTAATTCTTTAATACCTCATTTTATCTTTATCCCTTCCTCCGCATTTTAAAGATTTATAGTTGCTGCTTCCCCCTCAATTTTGTTATTTTTTTAAATTGACAAATGACAAATTGTATATATTTATATGTACGATATGTTTTGATGCATATATACACTGTGAAATAATTAATATATTCATCACTTCATATAACATTGCTCAGATTAGAACATTTAAAATCTACTTTCTTTGTTCCAAGAGTTGTTCAAGAAGAGTTCTGGAATACCATTTGACCCAGCAATCCCATTACTGGGTATGTACCCAGAGGAATATAAATCATTCTATTATAAAGATACAAGCACGTGTATGTTCATTGCAGCATTATTCACAATAGCAAAGACATGGAATCAGCCCAGATACCCATCAATGATACACTGGATAAAGAAAATGTGGTACATATACACCATGGAGTACTATACAGTCATAAAAAGGAATGAGATCATGTCCTTTGTAGGGACATGGATAGAGCTGGAAGCCATCAACCTCAGCAAACTAACGCAGGAACAGAAAACCAAACACCTCATGTTCTCACTTATGAGTGGAAGCTGACCAATGTGAACACTTAGACACAGGGAGGGAAACCACACACTGGGGCCTGTTGTCAGAGGCAAGAGGACGGAAGGCATCAAGAAAAATGCTAATGCATGCTGGGTTTCATACCTAAGTGATGGGTTGATAGGTACAGCAAACCACCATGGCACACATTTACCTATGTAACAAACCTGCGCACCCTGCACATATACCCTGGAACTTAAAAAAGAGAATCTAACTAAAAGAGTTCTGGAAATTCTAAGTGGCTAATTTTCTTTTTCTTTTGGCTACAATTTCTAGTAACAAAAATGAGGAAAGAATGGGGTCTGTACTATTCACCAAGTTTGAGATTTTGTTAAGGTTTTCTTTGGGACCCAAATATGATTAAATTGTGTACATATTCCACAGTCCTCACAAAGAATAGAGCGTGTTTACAGACGAATACAGCAGTATAATATTTACCCATTCCATCAGTGATTATTCTTTAGATTCCTTACCTTTTTGGCTCTTTAATCTTACACAGTCTTGTCCAGATTGCCTGCAATTTTTTCTGCTTCCATAAAAAATTTCCCCTTAATGCATAAAGTGTTTGTTTTGGGCATTTGATGTTGGTTTGGTTTTGTTTTTGAGACGGAGTCTTGCTCTGTCGTCCAGGCTGGAGTGCAGTGGGCTCACTGCAACCTCTGCCTCCTGGGTTCAAGTGATTCCCCTGCCTCAGCCTCCCAGGTAAGCTGGGATGACAGGTGGTGCCCCCATGCCTAATTTTTATATTTTTAGTAGAGACGGGGTTTCGCCATATTGGCCAGGCTGGTCTCGAACTCCTGACCTCAAGTGATCTGCCCACCTTGGCCTCCCAAAGTGCTGGGATTACAGGCATGAGCCACCATGCCCGGCCCTGATGTTGGTTTTTATCGCAAAAAGCAGACAGACAATTATATCTTCATTATGGGGATTAAACTATTATCTTTTTTGGTCTAATTTTTTGCCTCAAATTCCGTGAAGTCTGATATTAATAATGCTGTCCTTGCCTGTATATGTGTTTGAATGTGTCTGGCATGTCTTTTTTAATTACATATCTCTTAGTTTTTATTTTTTAGGGTTACTTTTGTCAAATGGTGTTTTTGTTATGATCAGCTTTAGAAAATGAACTTTTCCCTTATGCTCTAGAACAGAATAAACAACATATAAATTACATTTTCCTTAGAGAATGAAAGAGCTTAAACAGAAAACCATCTGAGGCCCAGTGCTTTTTGTTTTCACAATATCCTTCATGGCTAATAGGTCTATTTTAGTTTCCATTTTCTCTTGAGTCAGTTTTGGTAAATGTTTTTTTTATATATATATATATATATATATACACACACACACACACACACGCACACACACACATTTATTCATTTTATCCAGATACTAACACATACTAGCATATAACTGGATAATATGTTTTTAAATACACTCTATGGTTTTCATCCATTCCCATTCACAATTGTAATATTGTGAATACATGTTGCTTTTTAAAATTTTCCTTCTCAAAAGTTTATATATTTATTTTTTATTTGAGACGTAGTCTTGCTTTGTTGCCCACACTGGAGTGCAGTGACACTATCTTGGCTCCCCACAACCTCCACCTCCTGGGTTCAAGCGATTTTCCTGCTTCCGCCTCCTGAGTAGCTGAGATTACAGGCACATGTCACCACACCTGGCTACTTTTTGTATTTTTAGTAGAGACGAGGTTTTGCCATGTTGGCCAAGCTGGTCTCAAACTCCTGACCTCAAGTGATCCAATCCACCCGTCTCAGCCTCCCAAAGGGCTGGAATTACAGGCACGAGTCACCGCACCCAGCCAAAACTTTATATATTTCAACTGTCTAGCCAAAGAACCAGCTCTTAAATTTTTTAAAAAATTGACGACTTTCATAATTCATTAAATTCTGCTTTCTTCTCTATTAATGTTGACTTGAGGTATCATATGTTGTTGTTTACATAGGTTTTCAAATTAAGCTATTTTCACACTTTCTTTTTTAGTAATAGAAACATCTAGGGCAGGAATTGAGACAAGCAATTTTACCATGCAGGAGGCATTTCTCTGAAGACATTTTTGGTTCTGACAACTGGAGGGTGGGAAGCTACAGGCATCTGCTGGGTAGTGGCCAGGGACGTTCCCACCAAACAAAGAATTATTCATCCCAAAATGTCAATAGTGCTGAGGTTGAGAAACCCTGCTCTGTAACTATGATTTTTCTCCTGAGGAGAATTTTAGCTACATGTAAATATTTTTAAAATATTCTATACTGATTATTTTATTTCTTACCCTAAAATTATTTGGAAGAGTGATTTTATTTAATGTATCCTTTGTTATGATCAGAGACCATGAATCCTAGAATTTTATCTTTTTGAAATGTAGTGAGGTTTTTGTTATAGCTTAGGTTATGATCAATTTGTTTTTCCTTTTTTAAAACTTTTAGGTTCAGGGATATATGTGGAGGTTTATTATACAGACAAATTGCATGTCACAGGGGTTTGGTGTACAGATATTATTTCGTCACCCAAGTATGATCCATTTTTGCAAAACTGTTCATGTATATTGGAAATAATACTGTATATTGTACACATTTCTCCATATGTCTATTCAATAAACTGTTTTGACTACTTTAGGTGTAAAATCTCAAAAGAATTGGCTTATTTCACTTAGCTTAAGGTCCTCAAGGTTCATCCATGTGATAGCTGAATCGGAACTTTCTTCCCTTTTTAAGGCTGAGCAATACACCCTTATATGTATAGACGACATTTTGCTTATCCATTCATCTGCTGGGAGGCACTTGGTTGGGCATTATGAATAATACTGCTGGGAATGTGGGTGCACATGTATCTCGTGGAGACTCTGCTTTCAATTCTCTTGAGTAGACACCCAGCATTCCAATTGCTGTATCTATAGTAATTCTGTTTTTAATTTTTAAGAAACCACCATACTGTTTTCCATAAAGCCTGCCATTCCTATTGTGTTTCCAGCAGTTTCTCTCTAAAATTTAAACATTTTCTTCATACATACTAATGTGAAGTTATTTATCCTGTAAATGTCCCAGAATGCTATGTCTTTACTGTGGCTTCTCCTTGCTCATAAAAAAAATAAGCATCTTTGCCTTAATGTTTCTGTCTTAAATCCTACTTTATCTGCTATCATTATCACTCTAATTTTGCAGTTTTATTTTTGTCCTGCATAATTTTAATTGTAAACTGTGTGTAGGTAGATTTTGGTTTCGAACCCAGTTCTTAATATATTGTGACATATATATTTGATTATTAATCATACAAATATCTGAGAAACAGAGTTAAAGTGAACTGTTTTAAAGGACAGAAGGTTTTAAAATATATTCTCTAAACATCCCCCTCTTCCCACCCCACAGCTTACGCACTCTCACCTTCTATAAGCCTTAAACAAGAATCTGGCATTATCTCCTCAAGGTCAA